ACCTACTGACCCATGTAGTCCGTATCTGTTTTTGCTGTCGTGTGTATTTGGGCTTCCTGTGGATGATGAAGTGGAGTTCTAATGGTCCTTACGTTTTGAGATACTTGGTGTCCTAATGGATGGAGTGTTACGGAATTGATCTGGGATTGGTAGTGGGATTAGGTCTTCCACAGTGATCTGACTTCTCTCTTCCTCCCTACCTAGTCTTTGTTTTAGTCCCAATTTTTGAAAAGAATTTTGCCCTTTTTTTTTCTGCAAATTTATTTCCCTTTAGCCATGTTTTTTCAAATATCCGCTGTCGTCCTTCCCGCTTCTCAGGTTGGATGATTTTCTGTTGCGTTTTTTGTTCTCTCTCCCATTGGGCTCTGATTTCCGTTTGCGTTGTGTCTTTGACCTCGGACCATTTTTCTTCCAAACGGGTACTTTGGTCCGTTAAGGTGCCTTTACATCTTGCCTTCCAGGTTACCCATAGGGTTGCTCTTCTCAGCAGGTCAGCCAAGTCAACATCTTCTTCTTCGAGCTCTTGCTCTTCCCTCCTTCCTGACAGTAAATAAATCATATCAGACGGGTATGACCGATCTGTTATTTTTACCCATAATGTTCTCGTTCTGTCCCACAGTTCCTTAGCTCTTTGGCAATGTACTAAACAATGTGTTAGTGTTTCTTCTGTCTCGTCGTTGCACATTTTGCAGTAGGTGTCCTGTTGTTGGGTGTCTCCTTGCTTATTTCTTCTCCTTCCCAGCCATTGGTTGACTGGTACTGCCCAGTATATTATCAACCATTGCAGGCTTCTGATTCTCGTTGGTCTTATACCAGTATAGTAGTTCCATGGAATCTTGCCTGTCCATTCTGCCTTTTCACCCAAATTCTTCTTCCATCTCTCTGATATAACCTGTTGGGGGTTTTTTGTTTGGTTTATTAGTCTATAGCCTGTTTTGACTTCATAATCGTAGATTGCAGTGAGTTTCCTTGTTTCCGTGTTGTTATTAGGGATCAGCCAACCCCATTCCACTGGATCAACTTCCAAATCCTTTATGTCTTGCTCCGGTTTATAGATCCTGGTTGTCTTTTGATTTTGGTTGTTGTTCAGAGAACCCTTGCGGCTCAGTTTTGGAGAACCTGTTCTAACCTTGTTGAGGCTTTGGAGATCGATTATTGATCTTTGTGCGATA